TCTAAATTTTTAGTGTGTTCTTTGGCAACATTTTTTAAGGCAGGAGTTATTGATTTGTGCATTTATGTGATTGATTAGGATCCCAATTAGAGTTAGAGAGGGTGAGCTAGTGGCCTTTTCATTCAACAAAATATATATGACAGAGCTTGTCTCATTTCTTTACATGTTCATCTGACTAAATTCACGAATATTAAATGCCTATCCCTTTTGTGCCAGGCAGTATATACAGCATAGAGGACAAAAAGATGAAAAAGTCCCTGATTTAAAGGACCCCACAGATAATTTCAAGTGGGAAGTACAATGATAGAGTGCAATAAAGGCAGTCACTCACTCACTTCTGGGGTAATTCATCCTTCCTGAGTCAGAATGCTATCATTCAGAAAAATCCCTAAGAATGGGAACACAATGCACATGGGCAATGTGGTAGCAATATTGATGGTAAATATTTAACAATCAGCTCAAAATATTCAGACTTCACAATTTGCCAGTCTTCATGGTGCAAGTAACTCCCACCATGGCTGATTTTCAACTACCACTGTGACATAACTGAATACTGAACTGGGAGTCGGTGCACAGTTACACCATTATGTAGTATTTCCAGCATACAGATTCAAGAGAATAAAATAGCCCCAAATGCAGATTGTAGTAAAATAATTAGGAGGTGATGGTTTTTAGTTGATGCCACTATTCTTAACATTATTTATTTAACTATAGGCTTATGTAATTTGATTTTAATAATGGCTGTAAGTAACAACCAGCTCACAAAATTTTTGAACATTATAATAGTAGATGCCAGGAGCTGCTGGTATGGGCTGGTTGCATCACACTGTTCCATGCATTATAATTTTGAATATGAGTGTAAGGAATCCAGTGAGTAAGCCCCTTTCAATTTTAAGAACTTTCTATAACATTTTCCCAAATGAACAGAGTCGAGTGTAAAAAAGTCTGTTCCAATTTGAAACCTATTGGCAATTGTCTAGTATCAACAGGATTTAAGTTGATATAAAATGTTCATGCCAAAGACTTTTGGTTTACCCACTTTGGAGCCTATTTTGGGGGGAAATTCCCTCAAAGAAGACTAACTTTCTACTTGGGTTTCTGCATGGCACATGATAACTGTCTTTGGTATGTTGGCATGACTATTCAAGCTCTCCTTAAGGGCTGTCAGCATAGAGCCCTGCTAAGACTACACACAAAGCCAGGTTTTCAATGCTTTCAAATTATGTACATTTTTCACACTAAACACCATTTTCCCAGACTGTCACACATTAGATGGTGGATTTCCAGTAAACATAACCTGAAAATTATTATATTATCTTTGTACTAACATATCTCTTGTGGTCCATAAGAACAGCTGGTATTTAAGTTGTTCAAAAATATTGGAAGAATAAATGTGTCAATAAAAGTGAATAGGTTTGTATCCAAACTTGTTATGCATTGTTGCTTTCATGGATTTTTTGGTATATGTGCAATTGTTAACATCTATAAACTCTTTATTTTTTTTAAGAAAGCATATATTTCTCATCTCAATGCTATATGTGAGTTTGGGGCTCAATGATATTTTGTCATTATTTTCCACTCAATCAGTTACTTCTAATATGATAGTTATAGTTACTTTGGTATACTTCACTTGATTCTTAAATTTCATTTAATCTCTACCCTTGTCATATGCAATTGTTGAATGCTGCTTTACTACTTGCTCCTATTATGGTTATTTCTATAAAACAAGAATATTCCATGTCCCAAAAAAACATTTGATAGGATTTATGTAGTGTCAAACAAAAATTCCTGTGCTTTATATGTGTTTGTTAAACTCTGCCCAAAAGAAGTTGCTGTCTAAAACTAAGCTATTCTTATTTTATAGTCCAGAGTATATAGTATGGTATTTCTTGTGATTGGTATAGTGTGAATATAATATGTGTAAATTTTTTCCTTTTGATTAAAGGAGTGAGTGTGTGTGTGTGTGTGTGTGTGTGTATTAAGTGTTGTAGTACAGAGAGTTCTGACTTTATGATTATTCAAATTTATAATGATGAGAAAATGATATGTATTTAGTAGAAACTGTAAATTGAATTTTGATTTTGGATCTTTTCCTGGGCTGGAGATAGGTAGAATCATACTTCCATGATGCAGGGCAGCAGCAGTGAGCTGCATTTCCAGTCTCCTGTGACCTTGAGGGTGAGCAACTGATACTTAACAGTGCACTCTGTTGTTAAGCTATGATTTTTTGGTAGGTCAGGTGCATTAAATACATTTTTACGTATGATATTTTTAGTTTACGATGGGTTTACTAGAATGTAATCTCATCCTTAAGCCAAGGAGCATCTGTATATGAAAAAGTGCCAATTTTCTCCAAATTATCCATTTTGGCAAAGTAGATTTTTCTCTGTATGATTTCTCGTTGTATATTTTATATAACATCTTTTGTCTCATATCTTTCCCTTGCATTAATAGTTTCAAGGTTATGGAAACATTCTAAACTTCTTAACTTAAAAGAGGATTTCATAAGAAATACTTTCTAGACTACAAAACAAAATATAGATTTTTAATTCACTCCTTAGTAGTCTTTCTCCTTGAAAAAAACAAGTAAGAGAAAAGGAAGTAACAAATATTACTCAAAATTAGTTCAGACGAAACACTGGACTGACAGTTTTGTTTTCTGCACCTACATAATTACAGAAAAGAGGCATGTGTTAGTATAAGCCCTCAAAGAATTATTTTGTTTTAAAAGTTGCTATGTATGATCAGTAGACTTCAAACTCAGTCTCTCACCTTTCTACCTATAGTAAAATAACAATTAATTGATATTCAAAATGATGGCCCGGTTGGCTAAGCATAGTCACAGATGTAATTATGCTAGATAGATGATAATTCATAAGACTGGAGAGCTTACCAACAGTGGCCATAATCATTAAAATGTGATCCTCCCCTTCTCGGTTAATCACATGATTATGTTAACCAGTCTGACCCATTTTAGAGCATCTGTTTTTGACAGACAATTTCTAATTTCTATTACTTTGTATCTCAAAATTTTGCCTGTTCAGCAGGGCCTGATAAAGATCTATACTTCATCTCTCACTATATTTAGCCACTCCTTTGCTGAAGCCTGATGACATGATGACAACAATGTGGGACATCCGAATTTTGCCTGTCTCTCTGTTGGAAGTTGAGGCCACTGGAGCATATTCCCCTGTGCTGTTTACATGTCTTGGCTAGACCATCATTTCAGAGGCAAACCTGAAATCCTTTTTAGTATCTTGGGTCTACTAACTTAGGGTGATATAATTTAAAAAAAATATTGTTTTCAATAACTGCTATTTATGTGTTTCTTTTTAACCTAGCACTGAGCTAATTACTTAATCACCCTCAGCTCAGGGTTTTCAAATTTGATGTAACCACCCATTTTGTGGGTACTGAATTCAGTTCAGTAGGTAAAATAGCATAGTATAGTTATAACAAAAATAGTCATGCATCTTGTAGAGGAAGGTGGGTAAATGTTGTTTCACGAAACTTTGGTTTTTCTTGAATAGTTTACATATTTTTGTTTGTCTGTGAACTGGATTGCAATGTGACCTGGCTATGGACCTGGTCAAAAAAAGTGGGAAAGCCTCTACACTCTTTCATATGATGTTCATGGTCGTTCAATGAAGTAACTCATCCAAGATCAGACAGCTTGTAAACTCCAAGATCATTGTTATAACCATTATGTTGTGGCACTTTTGGTGGACTATCATATAGAGATCATAAGGTTTTTCTTAATTTAGTATTTGCTCCTTGGGTTTGAACATACTTTTAAAGACACTTAATCTGAGATCCTCTTGTCAAACCTGGTAGTCAATTAGTATCTGAAGGGCCAAAGAGCAAGTCATGGCAATATTAATAATTTACACCAGTGCAGCTACTGATGTTGTATGAGATCAAGTTAGGTGTTTGTGTGAATATGCATTTCTAACCCAAATGTAAGCTAATATTGCAGTGGCTGGATCTTTGGTTTTTCAGATACTAATTGGCTGCCAGGTTTGAAGAGAGAAAGAAGGTTGCATTGTCTTTTGAAGTATCTTTAAGTTAAAAGATGTACAATTTACTATTTCAGAAAGTACAGGTAAGTCCTGTAGAGTACTTTAGTCTTTGTTTCTTATTTATGACAAGATTTTGTAGTGAATAAAGACGCTAGAGTTTTTATTGATATTTACTTTTCCTATTTTGGTGCTTGAAAAAACACTTGAAAAAACAACAGAAGGCAAACGTACTTTGGATATACCTGTACAGTCTCATTATTCACATTTGTCTTCAAATAAACCTGCATCTTGATTTAAAAACAAAACATTATGCGAAGAAAACTTGATTGGGGGAAAAATGTTTTTAAAAGCCCATGGTGATACTGAATAGACTATCTAAAGAATTCTGACTAATAAAAAGGTATCAAGACTTAAAATGGAAAAACAAAGGAACAAAAACTAAACATACAACCTCTAGCTAGTAAAGTCTTTTTTTTTTTTTTTTTTTGGTCTGCAGACTGTCTCCTACCTCTCTTCCATTCATTTTATCCTTGAGGCTCAGAAAACCTATCTATCCTGTCTGGATACCTTTTGTCAAGATTTTATTTAGTTTATTTATATTTGTTCTGTCTCTTAATTTTAGAATGTAATGATACATTTTGTATTTTGAATGGTAGTATGGCATCACTTCATAATTCAGAATGTATCATGAAGACTTTGAGTTATGGACATACCTAGACTCAGCTCTCGACATTTAGATGAAGAGGCAGTTTCTGGACAGAGGAGCTTTGATGCCTCTGTTCTCCAGCAGCCCCTTAGCCTAGTCTTGCTAAAAGCAGAGGAGGATGTTGAGATGCTAATTAGGCAGAGGAAGGGCTCTTTGCCAAGTGTTGTTTATTCAACTGAGTAAATGTCTCCCCCATGGGTTGAAGGGAGCTGGTTAGTTTAAGTGGGCAGGAAAAGCCAGCATTCTTCCAATAATGAGAGTTCTCTTTATGTCTTCCAAATGTCCAGTGTATGAGCCCTTCAGCACCCAGGAGTACAGGTGAGGAAGGCTACCTGTTTTGAAATGGGAAGCTGGCCATGGTTTGGAAGTGAGGATGCTTGGAATGGAGGCTGCTAGACTGTGATTTGTCTTTTTAATATGCAGGCTGGAAGACAGTTTTAAGTAAATGGGATGACTATAGTTTCAGGGAATTTATTTTCAGTTACTACAATGACTAATTGTTTTACTTTTTCACAGTTCAGTTATGAACAGTATGCTAATGGCAAAGCAATGCTACCTGTTCATGAGAAAAACATTGTTTTTAGAGTACTTCTTATTAGGGGAAAAAAAACTTTAAAGTATAAAAAACATATTCATTGAAAATGTTCTGCAATTCATATTTTAAAATGATTCACAGAATCACCTCACTCCACCTCCAGATTATGTGATTTTGCTGTTTCTGTGTTAGCTACATCCCACAGAAAGGAGAAAATTAAAAAAAAATAAAATCTCCAAGCCTTTGATAAATGGCTATCACTTAAACTTTGGATCCAAACAAAGAGAACAAGGTTCATCAGTATATGGATGTGTTACTAGTAAGAGACAAGAAATGGAAAAAGGAAAATAAGATAAATTCAGTTACAACAAGAAAGCCAAGGTTGTATAAGTGTATAACTCTCATTTTGATGTTTATTTGATTAGAATGTGAAATTTTATATATATTCATTTCAAACCAAAATAAAATGTTTCTTTCTGTTAGTTTGTATTAATTTTTTTTCAGAATATATGGCAGACAAAAATAAGTAAAATATATATAAAAAGTGAGCTTACTTAAATGTTCACTATTACTTTATTCCCTACTGTTAAGATTGGAGTTCTGCTATTGGCTCCGGCTCACATACTTTTTTGTAACTCTGAGGTTAAAACTTAATTGCTGGTGGTATAGAATGTAGTCATGTAAGACAGTTTTGCAGGTGATTAATCATATGCTATTATGTGTGTGGGAGGGTTTTGGCATCGTTATTGGTTATCTCATTAAGGTGTTATCTTTTGGGGTTTATAAGTAACCTTGTGTTTGTTCCTGGAGGTGTGGAAATATGTGATACTTTTCTTCACAGCTGTCACCCCTGTGTCAAAAGGCAGATTAAAAGAGAAGCATAGCAAATTTATTTAATCAAAGTTTTGTGTGACTCAGAGTCTTCAAAGCGAAGACCCAAAGACTCAAGGAAAGCTGTCCATTTTTATGCTTAGGTTGTATGAAAAAAATGGATAGGTATGTAGACTCATGGTTGGGAAAAAAATGGTGTGACTGCTGGACTGAAGGGGGGTAACTCAGAAGGGCCTGTTCTGTCTGAATTCCTCCTGGACTCCATGGGGCATCCCTTCCTCCTGGGTTTAGGGGGACACCCTTTGTAGAATTGGGGTCTTATGGTCTCTTATCAGACAAAGTAGGTCAGAGAATTTCTTTATGGACAGCTTTTACATAGAAAGGCACAGAAGTTTAGAAGTCATATTTTTAGGGTTTATGGTCTGCTTTGGGGTAAATGAGTTCTAGTTTCTGTGACTCAGCTTGGGGAAAAGGAAGTCTGGCTGCTGTGACTCACGTTGGGAGAGAACAAGGGGTGAGAAACAGAAGGGCAGGGAAGGGCAGAGAGATGTTGGTTCTGGGGCTGCTTCTGAGGTCTGTTAATATTCTTTAGTTCAAAATATTCAGCTTGCTAAAATACCATATGAGGGAGTATTATATTCTTTCTTTTTCTTTTTTTCAAATGAATTTAGGGTTGGCCTAGTTGGTTCTCACTAGTCATATTGAAATTATATAAAACATTATTTATTTATTTTGGGGATACTGGGCCCCAATATTGTCTATGATATTTTACTGATTCTGGAACCACCTTGGTTTACGGAGCCTTCTTTAGTTTACTATGATGCCAAGCACTATAAACATTTTCAATAAAATTTTGTGAGAGAAATCTAGTCTTCTTTGTAAAGAATCGTATCATAAAATGAGAGTACACTAATTTCAAAAGCCATACCTGAAAATGCCACATTACATCATCATTTGTTTATTGTATCTTGTGTAGCATTTTAGGCTTTTTATAAATCTAGGAGCAGTCTGATAAGGTTTAGACACTTATTTGTTTAGAAAACAGTAGATTTTACAAGGTAGTAATAACTTTAAAGGCTATATATGTTGCACCTAATGGCCAAAGTGAAGGAGGTTATATTATTTCAAAGATTATGGGCTTTGATTCTCTAGGGCAGTACCACATAAGAATGAAATCTGGACCTTGTCTTAAATCCCAAGATCCTAAATTAAAGTTAATTCATTTTGTCTTAGTATTTGATATTAAAAATTGTAAATTAACAGATATTTAATTAAATGCTAGCTCTATGTACAGCATTTTGAAAAAACAAACTGTAGGGAAACTGTACATGATAAATTCCCTGGATGAAATACGCAATAATCAGAGGTAGTGTTTTCTAATTAAAATTCTCTGTTCGGTACCTTAATACTGAACAGGGTTTAGTACTAGTTCCCTTCTTTATCTGTCTGAACTTTTCTACCTTAAGGTTTAGAAAAATAATTTTTCCAATAATCACACTGCTGAAATTTGAGGTGAGACTTCTCTTTTGGAATGCCTCTTCTAAGATTTTGGAGGACACCCTCAGTTTATGTACTGAACTCCTTCACTATGTAATGCTTTTTGGACTGTGGATGTGATTGTTTGCATCATGGACTTTTTATCTTGGCTAAACAGTTCAGGGTAGATGGATGTTAAACAGGCATTAGTAAATAAGGAATCATTAGCTGGGCCTCGTAGTTCCCAAATACGATTCCAGCTACTGAGGTAGGAGGATGACAAGTTCCAGGCTAGCCTGAACAACTTGGTGAAACCGTCTTGAAACAAAACAAAATGAAAAAAAGTGTTGGGGTTGTGGATCGGGCGGGGTTGGAGCATCCTTGAGTTCAACTCACTGTTCTGCAGAAAAGTAAATTATCATGAATTTTTAAATGTTATAAAGAAAACAGGGAACCAGGAGAGTGTATCTTCAGGTAGATTGCCCTTGCCTATAGTCACTGAGAACCAAAGAGTGAATGGGAATTCTTGATATGAAGAAAGCTGAGCAGAATATTCTAGGCAAAGGGCACAGCCTGTGTAAAGACATGAAGACTGTAGAGGATAGGATATGATGAAGCAACTTGGAGAAGCTCACCCACCATGTTGGAGAGGAGACTGAGGCAGAACCGGGCTGAGAGGGGCCAAGGCTTTCAGGCAGATGCCAGGCCACGCAGCTCTCTATGAGTGACTGTGATAATGCAATTCAAAGGACATGGTGGAGCCAAAGCAGGAGAAAGATATGGTCAGATACCCCTTTTATAGGGATCTGATAACTGGTTTGGAGAGGCCATATAGACTTGGTGAGACCTATTATGAGGATGTTGTTCTAATCTAAGCAATCTAGTCCAGATGAAGGCAGAGCCAGAGAGAAGTAGACTACTCAGAGAGAGGTAGTAATGACAAGGTTTACTAGAAGGTTTGTGGGTATTAAGAATGAAGGAAGGGTGAAAGATGCCTTCTGAATACCCACTTTAAACTGTGATCTTTACCAAGATAAAGAACATTAGAGTAGGTGGGGTTTCTTGGGCCTTTCCTCCAAGAGGATTTATAAACAAAATTTGCATTTTATACTTCTTGTTTTTTTACATAATTCTTTTTTGTTTTGTTAACATGGCTGAATATTCTTATTTTTCAAAATAACTTCCATTTATACAGTTTTAGGTATGAATGTAATCATATGTGTGCATTTGTTGAAAAACTTAAATCAGTTAAAATTACCCATTTTGGTTCCAAACAACTGGATTCTAAGGCACATTTCCATATTATAAGTTCTCTGTTCTTTTCACTTTAGCTTCCCTTATTGATAAGGTTTACTATTTTTGAAATTCTTTTCTGCTAACTTTCTCTTCTCTGGATACATATGAATACACGTGTATGTGTGCATGTATATGTGTGAATATGTGTGTGTGTATCACTATGTGTATGTGTGTGTGTGTGTGTGTGTGTGTGTATGTGTATATATATCTCCACTCACCCACACATGTTCTTTTAGACTGCCCTGAGTTGTTATGTAATAAAACATAAAGAAAGGAAGAAAAGTTTAATTTTTTTTTATATATTTTCTTTATCCGGTTGCACTAGAAAAAGGACACATTTTTAGACATTGAGAACTGAGATTCCTTTTTTCTGAGAGTAGCAAAGATTTTACAATTTGGCCTGTTAGGAAAGTCAGAAAGATAGGAATTCAATGGTTGCTTTTCCCCACATACTTTGAGGGCATTATGACGTTTTAATGTGAATTGTAAGATGTAGGGAGGTATACTCTAATTCCCTTTCATGCACATAAATCAAGTTGCAGGCTCTTTCGGAAATGTTTACTAGAAAAAACATCATGGGCAGATTTTAAAATGCTTTTGGATTGCATGACGGCATGGTGCCACTTCGATTGAAGGCTTGTAATATTTTATTTTCTTTCCCAAAGAGGCAAGATAAATCCTGTAAACATTTTTTTCTCATTTTGTTGTTTCTGTTGTACTATTGTGTTTGGCTCTAACCTTTTGCCCCTGGGAAACAAAAGTGTTTTTTTACTCCAGTGCTCCTGCTGAGCCCTCCAGCTGCTGGGCAGGGGTTTCAAAGTTGTTCCTTACTTACACACTGTAATTCTGGCTGATCAGAAAGCCTCCCAAGTCTAATCTGAAGCCCAATATACTAATTTTAAGGGATATATTTTGAAGGGAAAGCTTTGTTACAAATTACTAGACTGCAGCAGCTTTTTCAAAAGATTTTAGTGTAAGATCCAATTTCATTAATCATTATGTCTTTAAAAATGTTTATGATGAACTTCAACATGAAGCTTAATCTTACATAAACAAAGGCAGATATATCAACTGACAAGGCTTTACTCTTCAACATTGAAAACAAGAAATATGGTAAAGAACTTAGGGTATGCCAGGTACTACATTGGGTTCTGTTTAGCCTTTGCAAAACCTAAAGGAG